ATGAGGTATTAGTCAGAGACATATTAGAGGCAGAAACAGGAGTTAGGAGGGGTAGAGGTAGACCTAGATTAGATTACTGTTCGCAAATAGTTAAGGATGTGGGATGTTCTAGTTTTAGGGAAATGCGAAGTTTAGCTCAGGATAGGAAAGAGTGGAGGTACGTGTCCAACCAGTCTAAAGACTGATGACCTTATGATGAGTAAATGTAGAAAATTAAATAGGTACTACAAGAAAGTAATTTATTTGAAAATGCGTATTTTGTATTTAGCATTTAAAATACGAAAAGGAAATCTATTTTTTCTATTTTGAAATAACAAATCAAAAAAGTATTTGCATTTTTTATTTAAATACTTTTAGAAAACCATTTTGCACGTTTCTAGTAATTTCGAAAAAATCTAAACTAGAGAAGCACCGGATAACCGCGTACCCGGCACAGTTAATGCTAAGTACCCGGTAAAACCACCACGGTTAATGGTTCATGTCTTCGTTCAGATGGGTTTTCCGTTAAATGTCATCTTCACCAACGTTCCAGACCCCATTAAGTACCGTTAAAAAATCGTTTAGACACTAAATCAATGATATTGTAATTCCTGTACCCGGCCGGATCCTAAAAAAATACCGGATCCGACAGGTACCTGATCCAAATAAGATACCTGTCCCATATCTAGTCTCAACTACGGATAAAAGTCAACTATATGGATAAAAACGTACTATTAATTTCATAGTGCAAATCCTACCGTATGGTTACTAACCTTGCGCTTTTTAATTAAAAATTCCGATTAAAAAGAACGTCCTGGCTATCATTATGTATCACGCCAGAAAATTTTTGTAAAATTTTAATTTTTGCATGACTATCAATGTTGTATTCTTTATTCCAGTGCATCGTCAAAAGAGCTATCCTCATGTTCACGTACCCCTCAAGCCTTCCCGTTCGTCTCGCTGGCGCCTGGGTTCTCCCCAGGACACACCAAACGGGAGTACTCCGTCTGATACTCCCACAGTTACTCCAGGCTCTCCCGTCTCATCCACCAAAACTACTACAGCTGCCTCTAACAACCTAGGCTCGTTGGGTTCTCCCGTCCTCCGTCTCAACGATTCCGATATCGAAGATCCAGGCGCGCTCAGTTCCGAATCGGAATGCATCCTGTCAGATCCAACGGGATACAGGAGCCCTCCCGATATGCTAGACAGAAAGGTTCAGTTTGTTAATGGAAAAGTTAAAGAAGGGGAGGACGAAGGGGAGAAGAAAAGATCAAAGAAAAGGTGAGACCTTACAGAATTTTAGACATAAAATGCTAGTGGTCTAATTTGAACAAGTAATTAAGTTAAATAGTGCAAGGAAGAGGAGAGGAGAAGGGGTTAGCTGGGCTTAGGGAGTTAATATGACTCAAATTCGACTGTTTTTGCACATCTTCAAAGATGATTTGATTCGTAAGGTCAGTGACGATACGAGTCAAGATTGACTACTACTTTTTATATTATGATTACTCAATTATTTTTATTTTAATATTCATAATGAAAAACTATTAGGGGAAGGCCAATTTGGACTTAAAAGAAATAGAGAAACTCGGCTCATTTAACTCTAGCTTTACAGGAACTGAGTCAGGCAAGGATTCACACTGTTACCGCTACTTTTTAATCTGGATATACATCAAGGACTAGATAATCCTTATCAAAGACAGGCAATTTTTAGGGATAGATATACAGGGTTAAAAGATTAGTATGCTTAGATTTGCAGATTATATAGCAGTATTGACATCTGACAAGGAGGAGTTAGAGATAGCTTTAAATAAAATGGAAGCGGTATTGATAAAACAGTATGGTATGAAAACAAATAAACATCAATATTGAAGAAAAAGTAAAAAAACAAAGGATAGCCGAGGGTCGAGTCTCCTTTAACAATAAAAAGCGTGGAGGTGGACGGACGGCTCTATACGGGTGTGAAATGTGGATTGCGAACGCGGCGGAAAAGGAAATATTAGAAGCATTCAAAATGAGGAGGTATTAAAAAGAGTAGGAGAATAGAAAGCGCGATGGGAATAGACAAGATAGGTTGGTAGGACACCTTTTTAGGTATCAAGAGCTAGTTAGAAACATATTAGTTGCAAAAAGGAGTTAAGAGAAATAGAGGTGGATGCAGATTAGATAACTGTTCACAAGGATTTTAGTTTTAGGAAAATGCGAAGATTAGCTCAGGATAGAAAAGTCCTAGGACTGACAACCCTAAATTGTATAAGTGTTATGGTCAAAGGTGAATATACAGCCTATTCTATGTTTTACTAACCCCTTTTAACAAACCGCAAAATATTTTCTATTTTTGAGTTTTGAAAAAGAAAAAAAATATCTAGAAAATATGCACAAAACAATTTAGAATTCCGTACCCCAAAAGGTAAAAAGGAACCCTATAAGTCTGTTAAGACGCATTTTCTCAGGATCGCTTGTAGGTAGCAAATTGAAGTTAAATATTTTTCAACGCAATCAAAAAAAAAATTTGTGCTTATAAGTCTATACGGAATTCTCGATGCGCGAGCCTCACTGGCATTTGCCTGGTTTTTCTTTTCATGGTTTTACATAGCTGCCTCTTCTTTTATATTTCCTTTACAGAGCTTTAGCGAGAAATCGAAACTGAATTAGTTTGGACTTTTTTTTATCAGACAGCTTAACGTAGGACTGATGGAGCTTCGATCTTTGACTGGCAGAAATTGTAAGGCTATTAATTCTGAATTGACATTTTGAATGTTAATTTAATTACTGTTAAATGACGAAATCTATATATTGAAATTGCTAATAGTCATATTATAAAAGGTCATTAAAGAATTGATTACCGAATTACGTTAAAAAATTCAACACTTATTTGCAACAAAGTAATTGATTGACGGTTACGTATACTATACAGTTAGCAATAAATATTATTTGTAGATAGTAGCATACTGTCATTCACTTGATATTGGATGTCTTTTTTATTTAGTGAAACTTTAGTTGCTCTTTTAAGTCATTACTTTCCCGATAACCTTAATGTCCTTATAGAAAAACGAGCAAGCAGCAAGGAGTCACTTGAAGTGTTCAAGTTCAAGCTTTCTACTCAAAACCGCTTCTTCCTATAGACAATAGAACTTTCTTTTTAACAGTTAGCTCGCCTTACATACTTAATGATTGATTTTCACTTTTTACAAAGTTAATTTGATCTTACACGGTGGCAGCTAATTTTTCTTACAATACTTACGCCAAAGCTCGATCGACAAAAGTGCAAAAAAAAAAAACAAAATAGCTCATTATTGTGATTTGTAACGAACTATCATATTTAGATATACAGGTATACTACCAAAAAAATATAAAATTTTATATATANGAAATTGTAAGGCTATTAATTCTGAATTGACATTTTGAATGTTAATTTAATTACTGTTAAATGACGAAATCTATATATTGAAATTGCTATTCATGTTGACAATAATGATTTCAATATTGGTGTTGATTTAATCATCGACGTTAATATTGATGTGTTGTGATGTGCTGTATTGTCTTACGTTGCGTTGTAGTGCATTGCATTAGGTGATTGTACTGTGTTCTATTGAGCTAATCGGAAGATGTAGTAAGCGGTGTTGCGTTGTGTTGTAATGCGTTACATTGGAGGTGCTATATAGTCTTATATTGCGTTGCATTGCATCGCATTAGGTGGTTGTCCTGTTCCATTGAGCTAATTGGAAGCTGTGGTGAGCGGTGTTGCGTTGTGTTGTAGTGCGTTGCGTTGTGTTGTGAGGTGCTATATAGTCTTGTACTGCGTTACAATACATTGCATTAGGTGGTTGTACTGTGTTCCTTTGTGCTAATCGGCAGATGTATTGAGCGGCTCTACGTTACGTTGTAGTGCGTTGTGACGTAATGTATTATATTGCGTTACGTTGAAGGGTATTGCATAAGGTGGTTTTAATAGTGTTCCCTTGTACTAATCGTTAGCAGTGCTGAGTGGTGTTATAATATGTGTTGTAGTGCGTTGTGTGGTCTTGTCTTATATTGCGTTGCGTTACAGTGTATTGCAAGAGGTGGTGGTACTATATTCTGTTGTGCTAATAATAAGCTGTATATAAGCTGTGGGTTACATTGCGTTGTGTGTTTTTGAAACATATTTCGTAATTTGTACCTTGCTGGAGTCAAATTAAAATTATAATTTCATCATATCCGCTCTCGTATATTTTGCTCGAAAGCTATGAGATTGAAGTTGCCACAACGTACTATTATAAAATAGAATATTAAATCCTATCGTGTAGCATAGGGTCCTATATTAGTTTCTTTGTATTTCTAGATATTTTCGTGCAAATGACTACAAATTGCCGCTAGTTTTACTCAGAATGTGTGTCAAATTAAAATGTATGTCTAATATTTAAACAAGTGTCTTTCTGTAAGTCATTATGACTATATATGTATATGTATGCTATTAAGGCACAAATGAGCAATCCTGAGTAATCTTCGAAACAACTGAAGCGATTTCTATGAGACGATACGAAAATGAGGTTGTCAGGAGTAATCTAGGCTACTTTTTATCTGTCTCTTTTTATCTTTCTATATGTCCAGACTAATCTTCGAAACGACTAACTAAATCGATTTCGATGGTACTTCTTTTATCAAGCTTGCGAAGTTGCTGGTAAAATGACTAAATAATATCCATCTAATACAAGTTACACCGTGTAGTATTTTTTTATAAAGTTTCAAACGATAAAGTTTAATTTGATATTTTGTCGTGTGACATTTAATTTCTTCAAACCGTTGCTGGCGTAAAGTTGTTTGAAAAGGGAAGCTAATTTATTCCTTACATTGTGCTCGCAAGTTTTTTATTCTTGTCATAATGAAATTTATTTTTTTCCGACACAGAAGTTTCGTTGCTCCTTATTAACTCGGAAATGAAAAAATACGCCGAGTTTTTGAAAGTAGGCGAAATAAATTGAATAAGTTTTTGAGTGAAAAAGTTCATCGTGTGAATTTAAACTGGAACACGTTTTCTGTTGTTTTTCCGCAGAAAAAGTAATAATTAACCAAGAAAGCGAAATGCTGAATGTTAAATGCAGCTTCTTACCTACTGAATATTTATTAGCACAAGAAACTCTTTAGAGTTTAGAAAAAAATGGAACGATATACAGTAGAGGCTGGATTATTTGGACTAATAAAAAATTGAATGTTCGTATAGTCGAAAATATATTTTTTAATGTTAAAAAAATACAAAGTGTAATTATACAACACGCTACTGAAATGAAACTTCTTCAAACACAAACATAGCGGGATACAGGTTAAGGAATTGGGTTAATGGTAGATATTATTTGTACAGTATGAATTTAAATTTTACACTATACATGCCGGAGTTGCCTGTAACGAACGTTGCATTGAAGCGCGCTCACGGCTCAAACGATTCCCGCTACGAGACATCCGTTGATTTCGTTACTCGCATGAAACAAACTTCCCTACCGTGCGTAAAGAAGTTTCACTTCAGAGAAACGCGGTGCTGTACCGATGCGAAACATGGACGGTGGGCTCGCTGGAAAGGAAAAGAATAGAAGCGTTCGAATGATGAGGACACCGTGGATAGAGGAGGTTAAAAATAAGGAGGTATTAGAAAGAATAAGAGAACAAGTCACTATGGAAGTCAGTAAAAACTAGGCGAGATAGGTTATTCGGACACCTTCTCAGGCATGGAAGGCTAGTCAGAGACATATTAGAGGCAGAAACGGAAATGAGGAGGGGTAGAGGCAGACCTAGATCAGAATACTGTTCGCAAATAGTTAAGGATGTGGCATGTTCCAGTTTCAGGGAAATGCGAAGATTACCTCAGGATAGGTGCGGGACCAAACAGTCTTAGTACTGACGACCTTATGATGATGATGAAAAAGTTTACTGTATTACAGTTTATTAAAATTGTATATACGTTGTTTGTTTTTTACAATATCATTTGAGCTTCAATGGGAAAAGCGAAAATTAGCTCAGAAAAGAGTGGAGGTGATGTCCAACGAGTCTTAGGACTGAGGCCCTATGATATGATGAAATTATAATGATGATCATCATCGTCGTAACGCTCGCCCCATTTTCTGAATCTTTTAGACAACACTGTTTGTGTCGTTTTTTCAACAATCACTAAACCATTATCAGTTCTTCGAAATACAATACTTTTATACCCTATGAATATTGAATTCCAAAAGTCGGAATAATACCGAGAAAAACTATTAATTCAATCGAGCTTGATGCTGTTTCAAATCAAAATTGTTATGTAACATTAAAGAAACTTTGAGTGTCGTATAATATCCTATTTACTACAATCCGAGTAATTGTTGTATCTAAAGGGGTGTTCGAATACGGTTCTAACGGTAAATAAGTGCACACAAGGTAATAAGGTTCAAGAAAGTCCTTTTCTACCCTTTTGGGGGTTATCCATAAATTACATAACGGTTACTGAGGGGTTGTCGAGTGTCAAAATATGCGACAAACATAGAAGTTTGATTTTTTTCACAGCTTCAAGGGATTACAGCAGTGGTTTCCAACCTGAGGGGCGCGCCCCACTAGGTGGGCATGCAGCTGTTTCCAAAATATCGTTTTAGAATACAAACCAAAAAAGTCGAATAGGTGTCAAAAAAATGAATCAGCAAAATATGTAATCCACAATCCTCGCCGCGAATTTTTCGGTTACAAATGCTAAAACATCCAGTATTTATCAAATTAGATTGTTAGAAAAATTAAGGGGGCGCAACAATTTTTTTTTTAAAAGGGGGGCGCAGGTACAAAAGGATTGGAAACCACTGGATTACAGATTTACAGAGTATTTGATATAAATTTCAACTTGATACCTGGCGTTTCTGAAATAAAGGGTCTTTACAGACAGATAGACGGACAACGGAGTGATCCTGTAAGGGTTTCTTTTTTCATTTTGAAGTACGGAACCCTAAAAAGCGTTTTTACTAATAGTTTCTCATCAAACTGGAGCAACCGCATAAGGGCTTACGTGATAGGCCCGTAATCAAATAGAACAAAAAGATCTTAGTCGAGCCAAAAGTTCCACTTAACTAGGAAAACTTGTTTTTATGCAATTATATACTTAGTTGGTTAACGTAGTTTTCGTTCTTTCTTGTTTCTTTTTCCTTTGGTGTAGCATGATTTGCAGTAATATGATATTTACAGAACCCTTCTTAAGGATGTTTGGAAAGTACAATCGGAGACAAGAGTACATAAAATTAGAAATTCGTGATTAATTAGGTTTTGCAGCATATCATGGGGTAAATAAACATTATCTATACTAAAAGAAAGTATACGGTTTAAGAGGAAATTTGGAATTTGACCAATATCTTTGAATAAAATAAGAAATAACGAATAAACTGACTTTTGGCAGTGAATATGCCTTGATTTCAACTTCGAAACAAAAAGATATTTAGTTTCAATCTCTATTAGTAAATGAGCGTAAAACTTTTTAATATGTTTAAATAATGATTAAAACTTTAAAATTGCATTTATTTCAGACAATTATTACAGTGTAAACTCTATATAACGACACTTAAAGGACTGAACATTTTTTGGCGTTATAAAGAGTGGTCGTTAAATGGAGAGAAATAAAAGATATTATTTTACTATTCTATAATAATATGCATTTACCAATATAGTACACATTTTGCACACGAACATTATTATTCATACATTGCGTATAGCCTGTTATCTTCGTCTGATGTTTTTTGCTGCTCCAATATTTTAATTGTATTTTGTTACGTATCTTACTCATATCTTGAGATACTGCTGGATCAATTTGATTATATAAAA